TCTTTTTCAATAAGTCAATAATATAATAATAGGTCTGGCCGAATCAAGGGATTAACTTTTTTCCCTAATTCGAACCAGCCTTTCTCTCTTTTCTCTCTTCTCTCTTTTCTTCTTTCCTCTCCTACTTCTTGCTGTCTACTTTACTCTACAGTCAACGAACAAGACAGAATTCTATGGCAGGTCAAACTTCAACAGGTTTTAAATATGTTAAAACATAGGCACAAAGCACAAAGGCATCTCAAGGTGTGATGAATGTGCTTTATACTTGAAGAGGCATAAGCCTCAAGATGTAAGCCATAAGCCTTTTAAGAGACTGGCTCAAAGAACCAAGGTAGAAGGAAACCTGAAGACAAGGATTTAGAGTATACTAACGAAACTTTTGCTTCCTTAATTTTCATCCAAGATGGACATTTGTAACATAACATCTTTTGCAGGTGATGCCCAAGCAACCAGGGTTTGAGAAGAGGAGGGACCTTTATATGTTGTACCATTACCTGAACCATTACAATTTATTTGGTTCTGGTTACCGGTCATCAGCCATGTCAATAATAGATGACTATCTTCGGATGTTAAAAGCATAGCCTATGGTCTTAAGATTCTTTTCGGTTCTTGTACATGTATTTCTTGGACTAGGTTAAGTTAATCGACATGCTCCTTGTAAAGTATGATCGATCAAATGCATATTCCTTTTCCACTTCCTCTTGTTTTATATCCAGTTTCTATATGGAATTGGCATGTTTTGAGCAATTCTGTTTTTGTTCTACAACTCAAAATGTGCTCATGCTGGCGGTAACATAGAACAGTGTCAAATAGTTCAGTTAATCTAGGGACATTTGAATCAATACCCAAAATAGATTTCTCCTAAACAGCCGATGCATCTGCAGGTTTAGTTTCTCTGTGGCCTGTGGGACATATATACGAGAGTGAAAGCATGATTCTAAGGACTTATAGTTTGATGAAAAAAAAAAAGAATACATACAGAAAATATGTTCATGCTTGCTCCTTCACGAAGGGGTATGGGGAAATCTTACCAAATCTTTATAATACACGTTGAGGATAATTTAGATGAAAAAGGTAAGAGGACAAGCCCTTAATAGAGAGTACTAGGACAAAGATACAAATAGCTGGAATTAAGATGGAATTACGGTGCTGTTTGATAACAGCTGAAGTAGCTGAATTGAATGACTTATTGTTTGTCTTTTTGTAAATAAGTTATTCAGAAGGTTGCAAACTCCTTAATGGCTGAAGCTGAAATTGGGTCAATTATTACACCTCAGCTATTTCAGCTGTCGTCAACCGGAATGACATAGAATTCTTGGTTTCAGGGGGCTGGAGTCGTAATGAAATGAGTGTTCTAGTTAATAGTTCGGTCGGTTTTCTCTGTTTTTTCTGTCATTGGTTTGGATGTTCACCGTCACCGATCTATTGGAAAACAGAAGGGGTACGGTGGCTCGCAACACCAATACGGAGTCGAGGAGTGTTAGAGTGTAAAATCCTTCCCAGAGGTTTCCTTTTTACAAAAACTCTCCTGTAGTGTTGAAAAAAACCTGCAATTATCTCCCTTTCATTATTGTCTTGGAGGAAAATTTTGGATAAATGCATTAGTTTTTCAAAATTATCATTTGGCCCTTATATCTATCAATTCTTTATTAAAATATCTCAAAAGAATTTTTCACTTTTAATTAAAAAAATCTCCCAATAAAATTGAAAAGAATAAAGTAATTTTTATTCTATAAAAAATTAAAAACTAGGGTGTCATTTCGTAAGTCTTCCTCCAATCAAATAGAGGAAGAAGCAAATACGAGCTGTTGGGCTTTTAAAAAATCGACAACTTGCACGGAAAGATGCACCAAATGGGCCTAGGTCTAATAAAGTTTTAAAGGACAAATCTGATATTTATAATTATATTGAAAGATACCTAATAAATTGTAAGAATAATTTTGGTAACTTTGAAATCCTGTTAGCGGGACAAAGATGGAAGGAAGATAGCTACAACTACATGGGTAAAATACTTATACCACGCCTGATGTTTCTAATAAGTACTTAAAACCTCCCCTCACCTTTAAATGTTGCAAAGACCTCCCTTGACCTTTGGCATAAAATCTTAGAGGTGTAAATTGGGCCATGTCGGGTGGCCCGGCACAGCCCGATGAACTAGCCGTTGGGGGGTCCCCAATGAGTAGTTTCAGGTTTTTTTTTTTTGGGTTTTTTTTTATAGGAATACCCCCCAATAGCTATAAACAATTATATATGGGGTATTTATGTATTTTGATTTTGGGGGTGGGGGGGGGGAGAAAGAATGACACAAATGCCCCCTAACAGTTATATAATAACTAGTTTTGGGGGAATTTTGAGTAAAGTGATAAATAACTTTACAATGATCAAAATACCCCTCCCAACAACTAAAAAATGACTATTTTTTAGAGTATTTTGGGCAATTGAATTGTTTTCAATTTCTATAAATAGCTCTATCCTCCACCATTCTCATCACACCAATTCAACAATTCTCTTAATATCTTCTCTAGTTCTCATGCTCTCTCAAGTCTCAACCTCTTAATCTCTTATACATTTTCTGATTCTCCAATTCTCAACTTTATAGAAGTTTTAACATGAAGAGAGCTTGCTTAACAACTCAAGTATCTCAACTCTCAAGTTAGCAATTTGGGAGGCTTGGACTCTTGGAGTTAAAAGGCTTCAACTGTTGAAATCAAGTTGGGATTCTGAACCGGCAATCTGGGTCAATTAAATTAATTTTTATTTGTTTAGAATTTAAAAAATGATCGGCTCCTCCCAAAACCAATCCCCCAACATGTCCAATGTTAACGATATTTAGTCGTACCATGATAGTATTAGCATCGATATAGATGCTATTGATATTGATTGAACTTCCACTCCTAGTACTAATACTAGGGGCAAGAAAAAGAAGGCCACTAAGTTGATTAGCCCCATTTGAAAAATATTTAAAATAGAGGAGATTCAAGGGAAGGAAACAAGAGTTGTTTGTCAAAAATGTTGGAAAGACTTTAGCTATTGTAGCAGGGCTGGTACTGACCATTTGGGTAGATATTTGTTCACCCATGAGAAAGAAGAAGAAGGGAGAGAAACAACACAAACACAAATTGGGCAGAGGGTTACTCTCAAGAAAAAATGAGGCAAGAATTAACAAAATACATTGTACATGCTGAACAACATTTTTTGTTAGCTGAAGATACTAAACTTGAAAAATGGTTACGTAATACTGTAAATCCACAATTTAAAAAAGTTTCTAGGAATGCTATTAAACCAGATGCTTTAAATTTTTTTTATTCATATAAACAAAATTTAATTTATATGTTATCAAATTTTAATTCTAAAATTACAATTGCTTCTGATATTTGGACTTCTAAATTTAACATAAGTTATTTTTTATTAGTTTTGATAATAATGATTCAACAATAAATATTTTAAAATCTTAATTAAAACCATGTTTAAATGGTAAATTATTTCATACCAGATGTGCATGTCACATCTTAAATTTATGTATTCAGGATGCTTTAAATATTATATCTACTCATATTTCTAAAATTAGAAATTGTATTATATATATTAAAAGTTTTGGAGCAATAAAACAAGAATCCAACTACTTAAGGAAGATTAGGAAACGACATTATATATATTAAACATAGATGTAATTCTACCAATGCTATGTTAGAAAGTTGTATTTTTCGCAAACAAAATTTTAGTGGTTTTTATAATGCAAAAATGCCTACTGATATTATATTTGAGGAAGATTGGGAAATGGCAATTTTTATAAGAGATTTTTAAAACATTTTTATGATACAACTAATGAATTATCGGGTATTTATTATCCAACTACTTGTAATTTAGCTTATCAGTTAATGATGATTAGTGATTGTTTTGCAAAATATAGAAAGAATCCACAATTTAAAAATATTATTGAAATAATAGAAAATAAATTTAAAAAATATTGGGAGAACATTTCTCCTCTTTATTGCTTAACTAAAATATTAGATCCTAGGATTAGGAAAGATGGTTTAGAATATTTTACCTGAAACATATTGTGGAAATATGAATATTGAAATTGGAAATAAAAAATAAGAAATTAATAGTTTATTATTTGAAATGTATAGTTTATATGAATATGAAGTAATAGGGAATAATAAAAATTCTACAAATTGCACAATTGCATCTTCCACTTCTAAACTCGAGTTCAGTAGTGGAAGAGAAAAACTTTTTTATTTAATAAAAGGTAGAAATTCATTGCCTCGATAACAAGCTCACTTACTAAACTTAATTTTTATTTACAAGCAAATTTTTTTACTTTAGGTGATTCTTCCTTCACCTCGGAGGGAACAAATAATTTTGATATTTTAGCCTAGTGGAGTTAACATGCAAAAAATTATCCAATTCTCGCCACCATGGCACATGATCTACTAACCCCTCTGATGTCTACAGTTCCATCGGAGTCTTGTTTTAGTGCAGGTATTAGGGTGTTGGATGACAAAAGAAGCTATATGAATGATGAAGGTCTAGAGATAAGCATATACTTTAAAGATGGACTAGATGTTGAAAATAGATTACAAGACAAAGGAGGGCATGACACTACACCTGATGTTTCACCTAAAACAAATGATCAAAGTCAAGAACAATAGGAGAAAATGATGAAGTCAATATTTTTTGTATACTCAATAGTTGTATAACATTTTTTTCAAATTATTGTAAAATTTGTTTTAATTTTATTAAATTTATTTGATATTTTTTAATAATGTAATTTTTATTTTCAATTTGTAACTATATTGTATTTTTTTATATTTTATTAATTTATTCCATTTTCCAATTTTTATATTTCATTCATCCAACCATTATATGCTTTGTATCATTCAAATTTAAATGAAATAAAATTTTTATTTTTCTTCCAATTTTGTTAATCACTTTGAGTCTTTGTCACTTTGACTTCTTATTTGGTTAGGTATTTTTTTTTTCATTTTTTGTTAGATTTCTTATTTTTTAAATAGTTCTCAAAGGAAAGTTAAATATTTTAGTTTTACTTAGCAAAGAAATAAAAAAAATAAAAAATGTCAAAAAAACCAATCTGACCTAGTTTGGCCCACGCCCAAGGTCCGGCCTGTAGCCCAGCTCGGCATGGCCTAGGCCTATGGCATGGCATGGGTCCGCACAAGATTGGGCTGTGGGCCGTGGCGGGCGACTCCCAAAAAAACAATCTAGCCTAGTTTGGCCCACACCCAAGGCTTGGCTTGTAACCCAGCTCGGCACGACCTAGGTCCGTGGCATGGCATGGGTCCGCACAGGCTTGGGCTGTGGACTGTGGCGGGCTGACCCCCCAAATTATCCCTGGGGAGGGCGGCACGGCCCATAGGCCGTAGGTGGGTCGTGCCATACCGGCCCAGCACAACCCATTTTACACCTTACTAACTCCTTCCATTAATTGCACGCTAGAAAATTAACATAAATAAATCTATTGATCTAAATTTTTAAATACCCAAATTACCCATGAATCATGCCTGGGTAAAACGTTGCAAAGACCTCTCCTGACATTTGGTGTAAAATCTGCTTAGTGATCCCTTCCGTTAGTTGCACATTACATTGGTTTTGAATGCATTGTTGTCAAATTGCAAGTCCCACAGAAATAAAGAATTCTAAGTTTGAATTACTCTCAGATAGGGTCACATTCCAAGAATAAGAACAACATATTTGCTCATTTAGTATTTTCTTACTTGAAAATTTGAACTGACAGGGGTCTTTGCAACGTTTAAAGGTGGGGAGGTTTAAGTGTTTATGAGAAACATTAAGGGAGGTATAAGTATTTCACCCGGGCATGATTCATGGGTATTTTAAAAAATTTAGAGCTGATAGATTTATATTTCTGTAAGTTTCTAACATGCGACTAACTGAAGGGATCAGTAAACAAATTTTATCGAGGTCTTTGCAACGTTTAAAGGTGAGGGGAGGTTTAATTATTTATAATAAACGTAAGGGGATAATACGTATTTTACCCTTTTATTAAGTATATATTTGGCATCGTTGCTGAAGGTACAATACCTTTTTCTGAGAAAATAATAATTTTTTTTTGTTTGGAATCGTTTCTGTCAGGTAGAACATTTCCTAGAGCAACAACAATTTTTTTTTATTTAGTACCAATGTTCCAGGAAACGTCAGTACTGGTACCCATTATCCAGTGCCACCTCACATCCCTGCTGGCAACAACGAGCTATAGCTCTAAAAAATGTTAAATTCGGCGTTGCTCCAAACCATGCCTTTCCGATTTCTAAGGCATGGCTTAAAGCACCATTTTTATGAAAAAATAGTTCAAACGTCTGTTTCCTGGAACACCATTTTTTCCGATATGACGCTAATGCAGTGCTGTTTTTTTTCGAACAACAACAACAATGCCAAATAGATGCTAAAGTGAAACTACAAGGAGAGGGTTATTATGAATGTCAAAAACTTTCAGGGGGAAGTTTTTATATTTTATCCTACATAAAAAGAAGCTACAAAGATGACGAGTACGTTCGTTTACCCCAAAGAGATGGCGAATTTGTCTCTTCACATTAATTAAAGTACAATCGGCCATTGGGAGTTGATTTATCATTGGGAGATATTTTCAATACAGGCGGGGATGTTTTGTGAAATGTTGTGGGGGGTAATCTTTTGGGGGTTGATTTGAACTCAGAAGGCGGGTAGGGGCTAGAGTAGAGAGCAAATAAAAAAACTGCATTAAAGAAAATACCACTGCCACGTAGATGTAACTTGCCATGCAATGTGATCAATTGGGATCTGCTCTTCATACAAGGCGCCTCACACCAACCTCACATGCAAACATCTCCCGTAAATAATAATATATAAAATACAAGATACCAGATCTGCTCCTCACAGAGAACGCCTTATACCAATCTCACACGCACATCCTACCATGCATTGGAGCATCTCCCGTATTTACATATTAATATTCATGGGAGATGTTCCCAATGCACTGGAGATGTTCCCAATGTGTGAGGCGCCCTGTGTGTAAGGAGTAGTTCCGGTCTCGTGATGTGATACGTTAGACGCGTGGAGGCTGCTCCACGTGGATCCTTGGGTGCCACGTTAAAGATTCCTTTGCCATATAGAACTGTCGAACCCTCCTCTCCTCTGGGGCTGAGGACCCTCGTCTCCCGTATAGAAGTCCCACCGCTTCTTATGTCCAGACTGGACTGAGGCCGACGTTTTCTGGAGAGTGGAGAGCGGGCTGCCTCCGAGTAATCCGCACTCCGCAGAAAAGAAAACCGAGACCTGGAGAGAAGCGGAAACCATACGACGGGGAAGAAGAATCGCGAGTTTCACAGAGTACAGGAGAGAAAGAAATGGAAGTCGAACCGGAGATTCAGCCACTGTCGGAACTCGTCGCAGCTTTAGAGCACGCAACCCTAATGGCGAAAAAGCTCCCATCAACAACTGCCTCTTCACAAGTCTTCCAAGTCTATTCCTCGCTCCAAAATGCTCACCACCATCTCACTGCCTTCCTTGGACGGTTCCAGTCGTCGCAGCCTCTCGTGGGCGAGGATTCCATCTCTTCAGCTGTCGGAGAAGACGAGCCGATGCAGGTCGTGGACAACAAGCCTGAAGCAGCAGGGGAACGGAATTCCAGTGTTATCATCGACAAGGTCGAAGAACAGATGAGGGACTGCTTTCTTCAAAACAAGCGCCGCAAGCGCCCACGCTCGTTTTCGCGTGTAGCGGCGGCAGAACAGCGGATTGCATATGATAATGATTTGGCCAAGGAATTTCCGGCGTTTGATCCTAATGCAACGCGCTTGAGATCTTTGGATCTCATCTTCCAGTTCCATGGTTGAGAAGCTCATATGATCAAAACATCAATATCAATTAATCAGGGCAACTTTTTGTTTATGTTTTGCCCCAATTAAGTGTGTGCGATGCTTAACTCGGCAAATGCCAGAAACCATGTGAGGCTGATTGGTCTGTTTATCCTAAAGTGGCCCAAGTAGGAAAACCTTCCTTCTTTCTTTGAATGGCTTTTGCCTTTGACGTGTAACAGGAGTAAACAAGAGACACAGTTACAGTTAGACAATTAATTTGGAAAATAAGAGGTGTTTATATCATGTTTCAATTGCTTCACTGTAATTGGCAAATTACAATGTAACAAGTAACCAGTAACAACTAACAGCCGTAAGTTGGGAGGATTAAACCCAAGTTCAGTTATTATGGAATTGCAGTCTGCTGAGGAACATATGAATCCAGATTTCAGGTATAATTAACATGAATGCTTTTCTATCTTAGCTTATTTCTTTGTATGTTCAAGAGTACATTATGGCAGCACATTAACATCACCACGATGTACCACTCACAATTTATGATATAAAAAGCATCTAAAAAATGGTTCCCAAAGGCATCTGCAAGTATGCAAGCATGCTTTAAGGCTATTGATAATTAAGCTTCTGAATTTTCTCTGATAAGCATTTCTTTTCTTATTTTGAAAATTTGGATTTCATTTCTAATAATAAACCGGCAATGTGAACACTGAACACTTACAGTTTACACAACTTTAATAAAAAAAATATATAGAGTTCAGAAGGAGCAGTATCTCTTTCTTTAGTTCTTTGTTTAAAGAGGTAATAGTGCATGATGATAATACAAGACCTTATGTTGCAAAAATAGGGATATCGAGCATTCACATTCACTGACCTGTTGAGAAGCGGTCAGGCTGGTTCTTGGAAAATTCTCTGGAATCCAAATTATCTCCATTATCCTTCCAAAGACACCCAAATGAAAGTGTTCAGGGAAACTAGTACACTGGAATCCACGTTCCTATGAACCTTCCCAACATGAGTGCATATAGGCCAGAGAACATATTAGACGAGTATGACTTTCAAATTTGAATTCCTTGTCTCAGTCAAATTTGTGCGGTTTCCGCAATTATGTGGAATATTGAAGTTTGCATGCCTCGTCTCCACGATGCCACCAGTTGGACCAGTTCTTTGACACAGCCAAGAATGTTAACCTTTCACAATGAGGTTATGCAGTCTCACAAAATCATCCAGTGTTAGCTCCTCTGGTCTTGACTGCATGTGTAATTTCATAATAAAATAGAGATAATTCGTCAAAACCATAGATCAGAAGAAAAGTCAGCGAGGGATGTGCATCATTTTTATTATTACTTACTGTAACTGGAAGACCAACACTTTCCAGAGCTCGTTCAACCTCAAGCGATGTGCATATGTGTTGGAGTGATCTTCGCAGCATCTTACGCTTTCCATTGAATGCAGAATTGACCTGAGTGTGCAATGGAACAATTTGTTAAAAGAAGCTGTGCTAACAAGGATGATGGTTCTCAGAAAAATAAATGCCAATTACATTGTCAGTGCATGAACAACAGAACAACCTCATATGGGAATCTCTATAGAAATATGGGAATCTTTTCTTTCAGAAAATATGTGATGGCTTGTTCTTTAGAGAGGTTTTCCCACTATATTCATTAAAACATTGGTCACAGATTGCAAGGGCTAAAAAGTGGTTTGGTCAAATGGCAGAATGTTTGGAACATGTATTGAACTTTTTTATAATAAAAGCATCTAGGTGACAAGTATAATAAAGGCAGGGAAGAACCATTGAAAAGAAGCTTTTAGTGGAGGCAACTGGTGGATATTCTGCAGCTTCCTTGAGCTTAAATGTAACAACAGCAGCATCAACCTGCAAAATGAAAAACACCAATCAAGGTCAGTCGGTCCTCATTTTCGTGCTTATCTTAAAAACAAGTGCTTATTCAAATAAACACTTATTTGCATTTGGCACTCAACTTTTTCAAGTGCTTATTTTAAAAAATAGGGAAAATTCCACTTTAGTACCCTGAACTTTGGGGGTAGTGCCAAGTTAGTACCCGAACTTTCATACGTGTCACTGCAGTACCTAAACTTTCAAAAAGTGTGAAGTTGGTCCCTGTCATTAACCGATCGCCAGTTATCTGTTGAAAATGTCAAAACTACCCTTCAAAAGAAGACACTGTTCATTGTTTTCTACCTTGAGATTGAACTGGTTATCTTCAAAGAAAAAGAGAGAAAAAACATGAAATATGATAGAAGGAAACAATAACTGAAAGCAAAGAAATAATTAGACAAGAATGTGTTTCAGATCTAAAGGTAGAAGACAATGACTTCATTAGTATAGAATCTCAAACACCTCAACTGGTTCAGTCTCAAGGTAGAAGACAACGAACAGTGTTTTCTTTTGAAAGGTAGTTTTGACATTTTCAACAGATAACTGACGGTCGATTAACAACAGGGACCAACTTGGCACTTTTTGAAAGTTTAGGTATTGCAGTGACACGTTTGAAAGTTCGGGTACTAACTTGACACTACCCCCAAAGTTTAGGGTACTAAAATGGGATTTTCCCTAAAAAATAAGCACTTATTTCACATTGGGCATTTGGTAGTCTTTTTCTCCAATAAGCACTTAAATAAGCATTTGTGACGATTTTGTCCTTCATTTTCTTTCAAGCTTTACGAAAGCACTTTTATAAAAGTACTTTTATGAAAGCACTTTTATGAAAGTAATGAAATCACTTTAATAAAAGCACTTTTATGGAAGTACTTTTATAAAAGCACTTTCGTAAAAGTGCTCTATAAAAGCACTTTTACGAAAGTAGTACTTTTATAAAATTCAACCAAGGATTATTTATGAAAGCACTTTTATAAAAGTACTTTTACGAAAGCACTTTTATAAAAGTAATGAAATCACTTTAATAAAAGCACTTTTACGAAAGTACTTTTATAAAGCACTTTTGTGAAAGTAGTACTTTTATAAAATTCAGCTAAGGATAATTTAGAAATGGTACTTAAAATTCAACTAGGGATAATTTTGGAAGAAAAAATTGAATTAGTGCTTATTGTATAAGCACTTAAAAAAAGCTGGACATTTGGGCTTAAAAAGTAAGCCCTTATTTTTAAAATAAGCACTTATTTTAGACTTATTTCCTAAACACCAATAAGTGCTTAATGCCCCAAATAAGCACTTAATTTTAAGCACTCCCAAACATGGCCCAAATCCATTTTCTTATGCATCATTTTAGCAAGGGTATTTCTTTGCACACAATTGGTCTAGAAGAATCTCTTTTAACTATTTCAAGGGAGGAATTATGGAGATGTTTGGCATCAATGCCATTTTTCTGAGAAAACGGTGCCACGTAGCTGCCACAGCAGAGAAAGTGGTGCTTCAAACAACGCCCTCTTGTTTGGTACCGTTTTTCCAGAAAAATGTTGCTCCAGACCATGCCTTGGAAATCGGGAAAGTGTGGCCTGGAGCAATGCCAAATTCAATGTTTTCTGAGAAAACGGTGCATTGCTGCCAGTGGTGCAATGATGTGGCATCATCTTGGACGTTGGATAACATAGATCAATGTTGAAAACCTTGCTGCCAGCACTGGTACCAAACAAAACCAGTGCTGTTTTCTCAGAAAATGCCTATGTGGCAGCACCAGTTCCAAACAAAAAATGCTTACAACTCCACATGCCCAACACCGTTTTTATGAGAAAATGGTGTGGAGTTCCCAGCACCGATGTCAAACACCTTCTATATCAGTTCAGTGCTGCAGGGTTCCTCTTGTAATAGAAGAGAACTATTCAAAGCAATTATGAAGGTTCAAAGGAAATTATACTGCAAGTGGGTTACCTATCTCAGATGTGGCAGCGCATATTTGGTGCTCTGTGATAGTTCCATCACAGATCGTAAGCTTAATAGAAGCTTTTGTTTTGACTTTTGAGGTTAGTAACGGATCCGTTATTTGGCAACCAAGTTTCAGAAGACCTTTTGCTTAAAGAGGGATGTTTTACATGGGAGAAAGAAGGCAAAGATCTTCTGGAGTTGCATACCATTTGTGGTTTGTTATGGCATCCAGAAAGAATGAAAAAGAAGAACCTGGAAATTGGAAATACAATTCTCAATTGGATTTTGATCCTTCCTGATTTTGCTAATGTTCATGGAGACTCTTTCAGGTCAGACTTTTGGTATATTTTACAGCTGTCTGGAGGGACTACTTGATTTATAAATTTGAAATTTTAAGTTTCTTTGTTTCTTGCTGGTAAGGTGTTATCACATCACCCTTTTTGGATGCACGATTACCTTTTTTCTTTAATAAAATTTTCTTCTTAATTCACCATCCAAAAAATGGGAAGGAGAGTCATTAAGGGAGCTCTAACAGGAGATGTTTGATTAAAAAAAGAAGTTGGAGGTTTCTAGGCATAAGCAAGAAATCCAAAGGTCCTGGTGATGGAGGATTTTGAAATATCAATATCTTCATGGGTCGATCCTCTTCTCAAGACCTCTTGTTTCAAATTCCAGAAGTGAATTTAGGGAGTTCAATAGTGGATAAGGTGTTAATATTCAACCAGCTAGCAACCAAGTTTTGAGGGGGTCATTGAAGTGCAGAGCATTGAAGGTGGTTTATTAGTGCGGTTATCATTTGTAGAAACTCAAAAAACATAAAGGATGTGGCCAATGATCACTAAGAGGGTGAGTCTCTTATTGCAGTATTGAAAGAAATAGCCAAAAGGAGACATTTTAAAAATAGAAAGATTTTCAAGGTAGGGTCAACAAGGCACTGGCAGGTCAACAAGACCATCCATCTCTATAGCAGTATTAGCGAAGCCATGCCAAATTGTATTAGTTTGATCCTTTTCTGTTTTTAATACATAGTTATAGTTTTCTTTAGTTTTTTTTTCCTCTGAAGGAATTTTAATTTCTATTTTTTGATCCACGGTTGGATACAGGAACAATCTGGGTTTTCTTTCTTTTGTTTTTTGATCAGCAGAAGAAATTAATTTATTAGAATTAAAGAAAGCTGTAGCAGAAGAAGATGATGGCAGACATCCCTAGGAGCTTATCAAATTACAGTTACATAGAATTCCCAAAAAGGCTGATAAGTTCCCAGCATCCCAAAATACATCAGATTACAATTTAGCCCAAAACAAGCCATCTCTATCAGTTCCTTGCTTTGCCAATACATCTGCCATTCCATTTGCAAACCTTCTTATCCACCCAAAAGTGGAATTGAATCTCTTTGCCAAGGTGTTGATCTCCCTAAAAGCATGTCTGTATTTCCATGGAGCTGATATGTTATACTTGGACCAAGATATGACTAACTGAGAATCTCCTCCCACTTCCAATTCCCTTACTCCAACTTGTACAACAAGCCTTAATCCATGTAAGAGAACCATTACTTCAGCTTGTACTGAATCTCCAAAGCCAAATTGGTCCTGAAAATAATGCCACCACCACTCCTTCATGGTTTCTAAAAACACCTCCTATTCCTGTCCTTACCCAATGAGCTACCATCAAAGTTAAGCTTCAGCTTATTAAAAGATGGAGGTTTCCAAACCACTTTTGCACTTTCTAAAGGTCTAACTGTTTGTGCCACTTCAGTCCAGGATCTTATTATGTCATTTGTTGAGAATTCTCGAAAGAGATCCAAAGTTTTACCCAATGTGCTGTTCTTACTGTTATGGCTTCAAACAGTTTCTCCTTTAATTTGCTCTTCTCATTAAAAATTCTCTAATTTCTTTTTTCTTCCCATACAGTCCAGATTAGCGCTGTTCTTGCTGTTTTCCACATAACTCTTCCTCTCTTCTTTTGTTGACTTAAGAAACTGGAATTGAATAGGCCTACCACATCCTGTGGAAGATCCCATTTGCAACCAAAGAGAGAACAAATGCATTTCCATATACAAGACACAAAAGGGCAGGCAACAAGTAAATGAGGAAGGGTCTCACAACTTTCCTTGCAAAGGATACACACATGAGGAGAAAGGCATTTGTTTGGCCTTCTTTTCTATAGCAAGTGCAAGCCGCAGGTGTTGATCTTCCCAAGGAGCACCACGAAGCTTGTACTTTAGGAGGGATAGGTTTACGCCAGATTTCTTTAACCGGGAAGTTCCCCCCCTCTGACAAGACAAAAAGAAGAAAACATAAGAGAAAAGGCCATTGGGTGAAGGGAACCAAATTCTTCCATCTAGAGAGTTAGGGTCCAAGAAAACATTTTCCAACTTTGACAGTAAGAGGACAAGGGAATCAAGCTCAGAATCTCTCATGCCTCTCCTAAACCTAAAATCCCAATTTATACCAAGTTCCGTTGATAAACCAAATTTTGAGATGGGTTCAGCCTTGTAATTGGATAAAGAAAAGAGTAGGGGAAACCAGGAAATTGTTGTTGAGGATCTTCCCAAAATAGGACCCTCTCCCCATTACCCACATCAAACTGAGAAGTATGAGTTGTCAAAGTTGCATCCCAACCATTTTCTGCCATACTGTGAATGTTTCCAATTACCTTGTGCCACAATCTATCTCTTTCTAAAGGAAATCTCCAGAGCTATTTTCCTAGTAGAACTGTATTTCTCTTCGTTAGATTCCCAATTCCAAGTCCTCCCAATTCTTTAGGTTTGCATACCTGTTGTCATTTATAAGATGATCTCTTCTTTCATCCCACAGTTCTTTGCAATCCTGACCGGTATTCTAAAGGTGGAAAGAAAGTAGGTAGACAAGTTGGCTAAGGTGGATAGGAACAATCTAGGTTATTATTATACATTTAATATTAAAATGATTTTAGCATTTCAGTGTCTAGCTTAATTTTTAAACAAAGGAGTGAAATAGAAGGCTTGTCCATGATTTGATCTCTCAAGAGATGACAAGGAAGTGGCTTGACCATGATATAACAAGTCTATGATGTAATCTAAGGAGCTTACTTGCTAACTTAGCGATAAGAGTGGAAGGGTAAAGAACAATAGCATTGTCTTAATCCTATTAAATCCACAAAAGGAAATTGAAAAAAAGAACTTTTTCTTTGTGATACAAGAAAACAGAGAAAATTCTCAAAGAAACACAATAATTTAATCATAAAACTCCCTTCATAACCTAAGACCTTTATAATCCTTTCATAACCTCCCCTTATAATGCGTTCTACCCTTGTGATAAATTTAGCATCATCCGTATGCAGATCAGCTATTCTGTTTTGCTTTTCCATCCTCATTATCTATTGTAAACCCTATTCTCTTCCCCGATGCTTACCCCATACTCAGTCATATTTCCCCCTTATCACCATCCTCCCACCCAATCCCTATACCTCCCCCCTCCACACCCATAAAAAAAAGAAAAAAAGAAAATCTTGCATTATATTCAATTTACTTGCAGCACCCTTAAAACCTATCCTTCAACTCTATATTGAAATCCCTTTTATCACTAAATCTTTCTGTTCCTTAAGAGTGACTGCCTAAATCAATTAATTAGATGTTGGCATTGACACACAGATGCAAAGATCACTGTTTAATATATCTATGCAAGTCCATAAAGCATAAGAAACATTAGACTGTTTCTCCTTGAAGGGGGCATGAATTTAGATATAGAGGAAGGAGCAGGTAAAGGGTAGCAGAAGAATAGGGTAAAGATAGTTCTTTTTTCTTAATCATGTAAGGTGCAGATTAATTGCAAGGAAGATAATAGGAGTAGGGGTAGGGACAGGGAAAAAAGGGAGAGGAGAGAAAGTTTCAACTAAGATAGGAAGGGAGGAGAGTAGGGGAGTGAAGGAACTCCAAGGGAGTGAAAGAAGAGCAAGGATTTAAGAAGGGGGAAGGAGTTGGCTACTTTATTGATTTTCATTTCTCAGATTCTCATGGAAAGATTGGAATGAAGTTTGGTTGTTGACTGGTTGGGCATGCTATTGGAGTACTTGATTCTTGGTTTCTATGTTCTCCCATCGATGCTTCTGATATGGGTTCTATTTCATGGTTGCCAGTCTTTTGTTTTATAGAATTTCTGGTATCCTTCTTTTTACTGATTGTTTTTATATCCATTTTGAAAGAATTTTTGTGTTGGTTTTGGGGTGTCTGTTTCTTTTTCTTTTTTTTTTTCTTTTTTTATATGTCCGCAGGGTGCTTTTGCCTTTTCCTGGGGCAAGTTGTTTCTCCTCAAAACCTCCCTTCTTTCTATTAATATTATTCTGCTACTGTTACTAATAAAGAAAAAAAAGGAAAAGAAAAAGAAAAGTTCCACATGGAGAGAAAGAGAAATGCAAATATTGCTCTCAAAATTTTAAATGTAAGTAAAAGTCTTAATGCCATGATGAATGGGTGACAAAAGCACTTAAATAAATCAATCTTTTGGTCACTTGCATTAACAGAGAAGTGCAGTACATGTAGATGGAAAAATACTATAGAGCCAACATCTTGCTGAAACAAGGAAAAAAATTACTTACATTTGGTTGAGGGAAGAAATTTGACCTTAGGACCTTAAATTTATATTCAGGATCTGGATGATATAACCATGGAGTTTTGTTAGAAAAAACACACAACAAAGAATTTGTTTTTCCCCAGTGCAAGATAAAAGTGACAACCAGAAATAAAATTCATATTACATAATTCTAGAGTGCGAATTGAATATGTCATTAGTAATACAAGCAAAGGCATATTCCATGACTGATGTTAATTCATGACAAGAATTATAAAACTCCAAACCATAATTGTTGTATGTATTTATTTATTTTTTGGTATTACTGTAGCGAAATATAGAGGGAGAGAAAGGAGAAAATATTTTCTTTGTTAAATTTTAAAACACATTGAGCATACAACTTAAATAAGAAAAGATAGGAAAGGCTAACCCTAGAATCTCTCACAATCAGGGATTGACTAATTCTTTCCCTTAATCCTAGGATATGACTTTCCTAAATTTATTCAAATCTCTAACAATCAAATCCTAACTTTCCTAATTTACCGACAATTACATATACTACACATTACAGGGGGAATCGGGGGTGGGGCAAAGCAATATGCCAAATGATCAAATAACTCAATATCCAAATATATTGAATCCAAATTCCTTAATAGTTCATAATGAAGCAAAATAAATGTAAAATCTGGTAATAAGTTGAACCAAAACAAAGTGGAGAAATTCAATCTGTACTAGTAATCAAGGTTCAAACTATCGGAAAGGCAAAGTGTATCGGAAAGACAAGTTTAAGAGACATATTGGGATACACTTTGAATATGCATAGATATGGACAAAAAATCAAGATATGCATAAATATGCTAAGAAACTCAAATAAATAATAGAAAATTTATTAATAACAATAATTACAAGTTTTATATGATTGTAAATAAGTTATTTAAATGTAAAAAAAAAAACCATAATTTAATGGTTTATATAAAATGTGTGTGTGTATATATATATATATATATACACACAAACAAATGGGTGTGGCCTAGTGGTGAACTTATGGTCGATAAAACCTAATGACTAAGGCTCAAATCTTACTAGCTAAAGTTATAGTTTTTATTAAAACTAATAAAACTAAGTTAATGGGAGAGAGGATCATTAATTAACGAAATTAATGAGAGAATTTGAATTAGGCACTAAAATTCAAATTCAAATTTAAAATTATGCTTTAAATTGTAGGAGTAATTATAACTAATTAATGAGAGAGATGATAGACTTAAATATAGGAGTAACTAACAAAATTAATGATGGAGAAGGGGACCCAAAACAAATTAAGTGTATCGGGCTGTACCGGACTGTTTTGGGCCCGTATTAGCCAATATAGACCCAAAACTAGGGGTGCAACTTAGGCGGACCTAGCTTGAGCCTGAATTGACCCAGCCCGAAATTTTACACGAGCTGGGCTTGGATTTTCAGTCCTCAAGCCCAAGAAGTCGGACTTTTTTATTTTCCGGGCTGGGCCTGGGCCTAACCCTTAGGTAGTCCAAACCGACCTGTGCTCAGCTCAACTATATACATTCATACATACATATGTATATATACGTAAATTTTGCATACATTTGTATATATATTTACCTATATACATACATATTTGCATACATATTTACATATATACATACATATATGTATATATATTTACATAAATGCATATATACATATATAATGTTAGCGGGTTCATTGACCAACACAAGCCCGGCTCGGGCCGAGCCCAACTCGAGTGCATCAAATTACAGTGTGGGCTGGGCTTGACCTCGGGCTTGGGTCTGGGTTGACCATAAACCCAGCCCAACCCCACCCGACTTGCACCCCTACCCAAAATAGCTCGATACGAGCCCATATCTATTTGATACATATGAAAAGAAACGCAACATATGATTTCTACACATTCCCTATATCAGACTTTTGTTGGAACAATACATACCAGTCAATATGGTTTGACACATTGTGAAATTTTGAACCTTGCTAGAAATTACTAGTTCTCTATGAAAGGAGAATGGTTATCACTCTAAAATTATTTGGTGTTGTGAAGCCAACTTAGTACCCAGAAATAGTAGGCTTAATGAATGAAAAGCTTGCATCTTAGGGTAGTGATTTGGGTATACCCCATACTTGATAAATGGGGCAAACTCCTAATTAATAATCCATAGGTATTTTCTTTAAGAGAAGGTTTATTTGTGATAAATCTTGTTGTTATAGATAAGGTTGCCATCTTTTCTGGTAGAGGTGTACTCCATTTGTCAAAGATGGTGTGTCCAACTAGCCAAGCCAGAAACTTGGGGCACTGGTAAGGGTATGTAGAGACTTACTATTTAACTGAAACTGGAGAGACTCTTTCATCTATTTCAGTTAAGACTTAAGAATAAGTGGACTGCATCGAACTTAACTCTATAGAAGATAGCTTTGACTAAATAGATGTAGATAGGGAAGTAGAAACCTAAACCGGGACATAGGTGAAGCTTATCAAACCTACAGTTGTCTTCTGTGGAAGGGTATTGAATCAGCAACTCATGATTCTTCTTAAGGAATTAAATAAAAAAATTGGAAGAGGAGACGAAGTTAAATTTTGTCAAGATGCTTGATGTGATAACACCCCTCTACACCCATCTTTTCCTCCCTGTTTTTGATTGCTGCAGATTCAGATGTTCTGGTCCGTGAATGTTTTGAATAAATAATAATATTGCTGTGTAGTGCCCAAATAACAATATTGGGAAACTGCATACAACAGGTCTCTCCATTAATGATAGGGAAGTCAAAAGAGTTTGGACCAAGAAAAACTTAGGTTCCATCCCTGCTGCAAAAATTTAGGTTCCATCTATACCTTCTGTAGGTGCAGTAATGTAGAGATGGTCCAAGTTATGGAGATAACGAGTAGGATGTTAGGAAGAATAATGGTGTTAGAGATGAGACCAGTTTAGGGAGATGAAAATGGAAGTTTTAGAGAAGGAATGACAGAATGATGCTAGGGTTAAAATGCCCAGTGAATGTTGAACGAAAGAAAGGCCAACAATAGGATGAGTGGAAGCTAAGGGGTCAGATCAATCAAAGCCCTTTCCAGGTCAAGAACCCTGCTATTTATGGGCAAAAGGAGGGCTCACTTCGTCTATGGGCAAGAGTTCTAGAAGATTCCCGATTCGGTTAAGGGTTCTCTAAAGATCAAGAATTCCAAAATATTCTTAGGGTAGTTAAGGGCTTGAGTCCTTCGGGCTGGGATGCGGGGGACATTCATTCTGATTCCCACACCCGCAAGCTCCTACTCCATGTCATCTTGAGGGAGACAATATCTGTTGTACAATCAACTTTTTAGTTATTTGTTTCTTAGATCATAGTTTTACTTCGTTTATTTTGTCTTGTGTCCCATGAAGGGCATCTTCGGTTTAGGTTTGAAGGTAAAGAAAATCCGTGATGGCCTCTGCAGAGAGAATCCGCAGTCCTCCTTAGGTGAGTACTACTAGTCAGGCGACTGTGGAACCTGTAGTCTTGTTATTGTGGTTAGTCTGTGGTGATAGTTTAGTATTATATAGGTCTATCCCTTTACACCTTCAAAAATGGCATTCTTGGCTTAGTCTGCAGCCCATGAGAATAACCTGACAGCAGACAACTTGCTTAAAAGAGGATTCACTCCAGCTAATGGCACTTGCCCTTGCCCCCTTTGTGCTGAGTTCCCAGAATGTGTAAATCATCTTTTCATTCACTGCAAGTTTACTGCTAAACTCTATTCTGCTGTTTTGCAATGTTTTGGAGTTCAAAGCTTCTTTCCCAAGAGAGTAGTCTCTCTTTTCAGATTTTGGCAATTGGGTATACTTGGTAAGAGACGAATGTTGTTATGAAATATATGCCCAGCTGCCATTACGTGGGGAATATGGAGTGAAAGAAACAGACTTATTTTTAAAGGCAAACATAGTTTTGAAGAGGTAGTTTAGTTTTGAGCATGTTATGCTCTTCACTGTCTGTGCAAAAGCCATTCCAGGGAATCCCATATTCTTTTCTTCTTTTTATGATCATCTTTCTTGTAAACAGAAGTACAAATCTATCACAATTTTGTACATTGTCATTGTACAGTTCCCAATTGTACTTGGGATTATACTTCTCACAGCCATTGAATACTATACCTTACTACAAAAGGAATCAGAAGCTATCAACTGATGCCACTTTAAGGCTTGATTTTAAATGCCCATAACTTCCTTGACCAAGGAATATGCACAGATTGCCTATTTTTATATGTTGACTTTTTCCTTTTAGAATGAAGCATTTCTGGAGATAAATTGCATTTTATGCTTGACAAGGAAATCCTATACCTGAGTAGAAGTTCACAAAGATATTGATGGGCCGGTACTCAGATGACCGTAAAGATGCATCTACCAACCGTAAAGCTGTTTCCTCCTGAATACAGAAAATCAATTTTAATGTTACGAAAAAGATTGGTTTATATGGTAATACTTGCATTTTTTCAGAGGAGGTAATTACATATTCATTAAAAGGGGTTAGAAAAAGCTGGAAAGCCCAAGAAGCTACACAGTAAGGGACCATACATATAAAACAGGATAGACTCTTCGACAAAAAGAATAGAAGAGCCAAGCATGATTAGTCTATTGGCACATCTAAAGACAAACATATTAAAATGTAGGGTAAATTATATATAGCCACCTCCCCCCCCCAAAAAAAAAAAAAAAAATTATAATAATAAAATCTAGATTCCAGCACTTTGCCCCCTAACCCACATTACCCATTCGAGTTTTTATAGGCTGACAGCAATAAATATCAAAATGATGAAAATAACCATTCCAAAGCACAAATCGTTCTCAAGGTATTATCAAGATGAATTTTGTTGAAATAAAGTTGAGAAAAACATGTGAGAATTAGGATTTTAGAAAAACTAAGTGTCACTACCCCCTAAGTAGTTTTTTTCTTTAACCCCAAAATTTACTCCCAGTGGAGGGGTGGCCACCGTTGAATTTTATTAATAATCTGAAAAGAAAATAATAAGCCTAGGAGGGGGGACGTAGAAGCCTTACCCCTCTAGAAAAGCGAAATTCACCAAGATGCACTCAAACTAGATAGTAATTACATATAGAAAATAAAATAAAAAAAGGTGGATCTTGAAAATAAACTAGGTAACTCATAAGAAAGCTATGCCTGATCCATCATCTCTAAGTAAATGATGCACCTCCAACGGTAATTCCTCATAAGAATTATATATAACATGTGAAAGCAATTCGCTTGCCTGTTTGGAGAACCAATCAGCCACTTGATCAGCCTCCCTATAAATATGTACAAGCACGATCTCCATAGTCATAAAAAAATTGTCCAAGTTTGCTTTCCAGTACCAAAGTTTCCAGGAGAGAGCATAATTACCTTGGAGGATCTCGAACAAAATCTGAGAGTCTATCTCCACTACTAGTTTCATAATGCTCATAGACCTAGCCAGTTCTAAGCCATCCAACAGAGCATTTGCTTCAGCCATCAGGTTTGTAGTAGAACCACAAGCTCTATGAAAAGTCGAGACAATATTATTTCTTCCATCTCTTATAACTCCCCCACCACCACTTGGACCCAGGTTACCCCTAGCGAATCCATCCACATTCAATTTAAAAAACCCAGCTGGAACCGACTGAACATGGACTATCTTAAGCTTCTCCACTAGGGGGATAATCTGAATTCCCATACGAAGGATAGCTTGAAGTTGCCAAGCTTCCGAATGTGATGAAATCTTGAGTAGAGGATTAATCTCCTGCATCCACTTTTCTAACTTGAAGATAATTTGCTGTGAGCATTTAAAGTCACCCTCCATCTTTTTCCTACATCGCTCCTTTCAGATCTCCCACGGGATAAATGGCTTTGTATATTAGAGCCCATTGTCAGCCACCTATGCAACAAGACCTGAATGGGTTCATGCTGGAGAAAGTCTATCCCCAATAATGTGCTGAAGTAACCAAACTTTCTGGGCCAAACGACTTTGAACAAAGAGACGATCTGCAGTCTCAATCTTYGGGTCTCTACAACAGGTGCACCTTGATGCTAAAGGAATTCCCAGTTGATGCAAATCACTGTCAACTCCAACTTTGGCTTTCAACAATGTCCAAGTGAAGAAGGCAACCTTAGTCAGTATAGCCTTATTCCCCCCAAGTACAAGGTGATTGTCAGTAATTTACACTAAAATGTATATTTTCAAACAAACTAAAACCTAATATCCATGCATAGACTAGCCCCACTGCTTTTTTTAAATCTGCATCCAATCTGATTATGTAAATGGATCATTCGAATCCAAGATGGTCAGAGTGGATTTCAAATTTTTGGAGTCCATTGACAACCCTAAAGTCCAGTAGTGCCACAACTTCCACAACCTACCAATGATACAAATTCCTTTGGAACTGAGGGTACCATACAACTATGATACACAGTTTCATAGCCTCACACCACAGAGCAGTCCTTGTCAACAGCAGTTGCAGATAAATTTGGGAGATGGATTTCAAAGGCCTCTAATCTCACCATTCATCCAACCAGAAGTATAGATGTTAGACTTTACCCACCTTATAGGAGGTATTGGGATGAATACCTCATAAGATTTCTCAATGCCCTTCTAGACAAACAGCCATAGGATATGCTTGCACAGCTTGGGTCCCATCCAAGGTTCAAAGTATCGGAAACACCAAGTGTAYTGGAAAGGCAATTTTAAGAGATGTATCGGGATACGCCTTGGGTAAGCATGCGTATCAGAAAAAAACTAAGATACACATAGATACGCTTGGAAACACTATAAATACTTTAATAAATCATAAAAATACATCAATGACACTATATATAAGACCTCAATTAGGTGTATATACATTAAATTAATATATTTTAATGGTTTTATGAAAAAATATATTGTAGTTAATTATAATTTCATTAAAAATCCTATGCTTAACTATAATTTATAAATTATAATTCTTAAGTTTTAATGTTTTATGGGATGGGAAAAACCCAAATCTCYTATCCAACCATAAAACATGCATTGGCACAACTTCTAAGTGAAAATATAATTAATAATTATTTATTATTTATTACCAAAAATTATAAAAAATAAATAAACATTATATAATATATTCAAAAAATAGTTATTAAATAAGAAATTTCAATTGCTTTGTGGATATGATATATCATCCATAGAATTATAATATATTCAATCATTGTGATCAAATGATATAATATAATTAATTATTTGTTTATTTTTTAATTCTAAAAATATAAAAATAAAAAAAAAATAATTATTAAAGAAGAAATTTCAATTGCTCTATGGATATAATAGATAAACCCATAAATCTAAAACATATTTAGTCTTTATAGGCAGAAAAAAAATTACATTTTCAAATTTTTTGTTAATTTATATTTTCCCCAAATATCTTCATTAAATTTCCATAATTCTACTGATAACACAAAAAAATTGTGATTTTGAATGTAAGAAATGTAGATCAACATAAATTTAAACATTCAATAAAAAAAAAAAAAGAAATCACAAGGTACTATAAAAAATTGAAAAAACTTACCTATTTTTGTCATATTTTTTCAAAATTTGAAAATTCTTCAAAAAATATTAACGATTCACACTTGTTTCTTGCAAATTTTTGCAAATCTATCGCTCTAGGAATGAGGTTTGGAGTTTTAGAGTCATTTGGGGGTGAAAGAAGGCTTGTTTCAGGGAAATGAAGTTTGCTTTCCCCTTTTATTTTTTTTTTTCAGTTTTTGGTTGTATCTTTTTCGTCGATATGCTACCGATACACCTCGATACACCCCTGATACGCCCCGATACGATCCGATACGGGTCCGATACACATGAAAAAAGACGAGACGTCCGATTTCCATGTGTATCCTGTATCTGTTTTTCAAAGATACGATACAATATACCCCGTATTGGGCGTATCGTATCGAAATTTTAAACCTTGGTGCCATCCCCCATTTTGCAAGCCATATTTAGCTTCTACTAGCCTCCTCCACCAGCTCCCATGAGAAGCACTTTCCAACAAAAGCCAGATATGTTATTTTTAGTTTTTGAAGGCCCAATTCACCTATGAATTTTACAGACCAAAGATGATTCCAAAAGTGTATTTTCTTATCATCCTCTTGTCCTTGCCAAAAGAAATCATGTTGGATATTGTCCAGACAAGAGGTCACCGTGGGGGGGGGGGAATAAGAGAGGTAAAATGATGGAAGGTTGGTCAGTATGCTCCTGATTAAAGTTAGCTTCCCCCTTGGAGGGAACATCACTTTCCAAGAAGCAAGCTATCTTTCAAATCACTCCTCTCAAGGTCCCAAACACAAGGAGCTTTCTATTACAAGCATGTTTAGACTTGTCATAGATTTGAAAGGGCTGCAAGAAATATCCTATAATTGATTATCACTTCTGAAATTTGAGTTTTGTCAATGCTTCATAATAAGGGAACCATATTAGAAGAGAAGTTCTAGCAACAAAAATAAATAAATAAAAGGCTGGGATATAGTGGGCATCTAGGGCTTACTCTTGATTTACTGAGAAGAACAAATTAAATGAGAATGGGTAACTTGTTAACACGTTGCAACTGAATTCCTTGGATATCCCATATGTCTTCTAGGACATGTAACAAAGACACTTAAACATAATAAGCATATAATTACTAATAAAGGTATCAGAGATAGCAACTTGGGGAAACATTAAATTGACTTTGCATTGCACAAGTGATTTTATTTGTATGCAACATGAATATAACATGGTATGTGGTGTGCCTTTGGTGTAACTATTAAATCCACAAAAAATGCTTGAAACTTTTCAAGTAATATTGCATTGGGATCAATCAAGCAAGCCTGGATCCCTTTCGTCAATCTATTTTAGCTGGATGAAAATTTTTATGTGCATCATAGCAGATAACTAAATAATATGGTTCCATGTTAATATCACAGAAACCAGAAGAATGAGATCTTAAGTTAGAGAAACAGCAAACAAACCTGGAGTAAGAGTACAACTTCCGAAAATATGTCACCCATTGGAAGTAGTTGCTTCACTACATCAGTACTAATATTGAAAGGTATATTGGAGACTACCTGTTAAGAAATTTCTCCCACAGAAAAAGTTAAAATTCCATAATCCCAGAAAAATGCTAATCTCATTTAAAGCATATATTTCAAATGATTTGGAATCATCAAAACAGGTAATCGTCATGTTCAATCAATCACAGATAGAAAGTCATATCTGGCAATGGTAGCTTTTTTTCTTGATAAAGGGTAACAATATAAATGAAGACCACAAAGGAATATAAGAGGAACTACATAGATTTGCACAAGGTAAGACAAAGCAACCCAACCCTTATTAACCCTATTCAGGAAATGTACTGTCAGTACAAAGAAGACCTTTCAACACCTGATTTGGCCAGTGAGTCAGCAATAAATTTTCTACGAAAAAAGTCAACAGTAAAGTTACTTTCCCTTATAATCCATCCGGCCCAAGAAAAAAAAAATCAGACTCCATAAAGTCTGCTTTCCTCATTGACCCACTAAAAACCCAGTTTGTGGACCCATCAGCTTTTAGGAAAAGCCTTCCCATCCCAGCTGGTCCAGTGTTCCCCATAGAACTTCCATCAAACTGCAATTTGATCCCACTACTGGTAATTGAATAAGATCAGAAGGGCCTAAATTGGAAGAATACATAATTTCCAGTCACTGAATTTTTTTAAGGCACTCACCAAGGCAAAAATTCAGGAGCTGAGGGTGGAGATCACACATCCTCCTGGAGCTTCAAAGGAGGATTCTTTGTTATTGAATATTCTTTTTTTCTTTCCTTCCAAACATACAGCAAATTCTTTGTGATTTCTTTCCGAAAGGCTTTTCACCTCCAAGCAATTCTCGACCCTTTCCACTGGTTGAACATTATTCCAGTACTTCCTGGTGGCACCCACTGAAAGGTCTCTCTGTCTATATCTAAGAAGCATATGCATGTATGCCAAGTCCTTTTCTTCTGGTGCAGATTACAAGTGTTAATCTTCGCACAAATAACTTCCCATAGGAAGAAGGAAATTGTAGGTGACATGAAAAGAGACACAGTTTTCTCTCAGGGAAAGGATTTGAACCAGGATTGGATATGATGGCTGATAAGAATGATTTGGTTGAAAAGATACCTGTCAGGGTTAGGAACCAACTTGATCTGTCCAGAATGGAAGAGAAATGGAAAATGTCCTGGAGAAAGATGAGACAAAGGCTTCCCAACCACAAATTACAGTGACCATCACCAACCATGACAAGTGAAAAGAATGAACATATAGAGGTAATATTTAGGTGTTTGAAAAATGGTATACGCCCAGATTGGAGCAGCCCAACATTTCAACCTCAAGTGATGGTCTTTGGTGGAAGGAGGGTAGGGATGGAAAATTTTCAGTAAAATCCTTTTACTTGGCCCTTATCAAAGACCATCTGACCACAGGACATGCAGAAGGTGTGTGGGGGAACCCAGTCCCACCAAGGGTGGAAGCTTTTGTGTGGCTGGTTTCCCTGGATGACATTTTATTTAACAGCAGATCACTTGAAGAGCAGAGGCTTCAGCATGGCAAGCTTCTTCTATACGTGCAAGATGGAAGAGGAGATAGTGTGCCATTTATTTATTTATTTATTTCATGCAAGGCTTCAGCATGGCAAGCTTCACTCTTCGGTGTTAGAGTCTTTCAGCCAAGCTCTACTGCTGAAATCTTCTCATCTTGGCCAAGAGTCAGAGGGAGCAAGAAGGCTAGGATAGTCTGGAGCTGTATCCCTTTTGCAGTGTGTTGGACTATCTGGAATGAAAGGAACAGAGGGATATTTTGAGAACAAGTCCAAGAACATTGAGATTCTAGGTGCTTCAGTTGGAAAACTAGTGACAGACTGGGTATGGGTCCTTCCAGGTTTGGCTCAAATCAATAGAGCAGATTTGGGGGAGAGCTTTTGGGATTTGCTTGACTAGTGTAATATTGGTGTGTCACCTTGACACCCATCTGGATTGTAATGCTTCTTTATCTTTTTTTTAATGAAAATCTTTTATTTTTATTCTCCAAAAGAAATGGGGAAGCACTAGAGCCATTTGCCAAGGAGAGCTGTATTTCTTTCAAAACTCCTGCCCAAGCCAAGGGCTCCTTTCAGGCTTGGATATCAGTTTCCAGTTAACCAGATAATCTCTCTTTTCACTACCTCCATCACCGAGAAAATTCCTTTACAGATGCCCAACGTACTTTCAAACTCTATAAGGTAATTCCGTATAGAGTGTTGCCTTCACCAGAGTAAGCTTTCCACCCCTGGGGATGTAATTCCTTTTCCAGTAATCTAATCTCTTTCCATTACCATATAGCAATAGTGTGCTTGAAAAATTGAAGGTGTCAAGTTCTTCAAGGGATGAACTTTGGTGGAATGAGTGCAGGGATGAGAGGTTCGGTGTGAAATCATTTTATTCAGCATTAATAAGGTCGCAGTTGGAGGCAAGTCAATGTGTAGGTGTGTGGAGCAATCCTGCTCCTCCAAGAGTGGAAATCGTTGTGTGGTTGGTTGTGGACAGTGTTTAAACAGCAGATCATCTAAAAAGCAGGGGTTTCAGTTTAGCAAGTGTCTGTTATATGCACAAAGAGCAGGAGAAATCAGTCTTTCACTTGTTCTTCTCCTATAAGATTGCTGGTTTTTATTGGAAGTTCTATTCAGATCTTTTCGGTCAGCAAGTGCTTCAGCCAAGAACCCTGGCAGAAATCTTTCCATGTGGTCAAGATTTAGAGAAGGTAAAAAATGCTAAGGTGGTGTGGAGCTGCAATCTGTTGGACCATCTGGAAACAGAGGAATAGAAGAGTGTTTGAAGATAAGCATTGGAAGATTGAAAAGATTGTGGCGGTCATTGACAAGTACATGGCAGATTGGGTGTTTATTCTCCCTGAATTTGCACAAGTCTGTGTCTCAGATCTAGTGGTTAATTTTTGAGATGTACTTGAGTTACAAAATTGTAATTCTGAAAGTTTCTTTTGACTTGTTCTTCCTTGGTGTTACCCTAACACCCGAGTAGGTTGTAATTCCCTGTTTTTCTTTTAATGATTTTTTCTTTTTACTATAAAAAAATTGACCTAGAAACCCTTAAACAGTGAGGGGAACTTCAATAACTTTCACTCAATCTTTACTTAAAAAAAATGAAGCCAAAGAGATGTTGCCTTCAAAACTTACTTAAGAAATAAGAACAAATGGAGACCCTAAGTTCAATTAAATCTATACCATTAAAACAGAAAACTAGACTCACTAAGACCAAAATACTCTTGGTAAACATATGACAGGTCACATGATTTTTAAATTATTATGATGACCAAAATACCCTTTTTTGAAGAAGGATGACCAAAATACCTTTAACGGAAACATAGCAAACCACATTACTTTTAAAGAAAACAGACTCCAAAGCCTAGTTTATGAGCAGCTTTTCTTGGGTGTTTCTTGAGGTCTTCTTTCTCCATTAATTGGGCCACTAACTAACCTACATATCTCTGACAAGATTGTCAGCAGCAGAAATAATGAAATGAAGTCAATATCACCAGAAATCCATTTCACACAGTTTTCTTGCCAAGTTATAAAGGAGTGGTCTGAATAGTCTTGTTTTGGCTCATTATTCCCAATGAATAAAAAGTGCATCTCATCCATAGAGCAGCTGGTGACCACATTCAAGAATGTAATACATACAGAACATAGTTGTCAAGGCAACGCCTAGGCGATAAGGCGCCCTTGGAGGTTCGCCTCACCCAGTCGCCAAGCAGTCTTGCATACTGTGTAATAAAATACTTTTATATTGTTATTTGTGAGATTATAATTATAAAATAGGCATTATTAAAGAAAAATAATCATTTTTTTGTGTTTATAAACTAATTTCTTTTTATTATTTTCTTATTTATTAGGGTTTAATCAACACAAACATTGCTAACTGCTGTATTGAACCCCCAGTGACTTCAAAATCTGAACCAACACATTTCTTCTTCCACATTTTATTTTCTTCTTTTCCTATAACAAAAATAGGGGTTCAACCCCTATATTTTTTGAATTTTCTTTCCTTTCTTCTTTTTCTTCTCATAAATATGTTGATTTTCTAGACTTAAACATGAAGTTGGTTATGGAACCTAGGGAACTACCCTAGGATATGTGATTTTACTTAAACAAATCCATCGCCTAGGCGACTAGGCGACAAGGCGCCCCCCTGTCACCTAGCCTCGCCTTGGCGCCTTGAAAACTATGATACAAAAAGCAGACACAAAGAATAGAGATTAAGTACAGCACTCACTTTTGCATATTTTGAATTTCTTCCGGATGACTTTGCATTTTGCAACAATGAAATCATATGAGAACGTATATGACATCTTGTGAAGTCCTCTTGCAAAACCTACAAAATTCAGTTGTAGATGTTGGAATAATTTCATTATGTGTGGGTATTTTTAACCAAAAAGGCACAAATGTTTCAATATATATAAATCTAAATTATATTGTTGTCAAATATAACAAAATAACTGGTATTGAATGCCACAACTGATTGATGAGTTGACAGGTAGAAACTGAATCAATAGTCAAGTCATAGGAACCATCAATTATGTTCTCAGAGAAGCATCCGGGTGGTTCATACATGCTATAAATAGACATAATATGGTAACCATGTACACCTAGTTATAAAAATAGAGGCAAGCCATTTGAATCATGTTGGTTCTGTACGCAACATTAAGGAGAAAAATTTAAATAGCTTTGCCACTGCTGACTACATTGGAACAGGATGAGATTCCTAAAGTGGTGCATGAAAAATACTCACAACTATTCCTCATTGAATGGTAAAAGTCCCTAACAGATTGCTTCATAGATTCAAGCACCATAGACCTCACATGAATAGTAACCGTGAGCAATAACATGAATAGTAACCATGAACAGTAACTCGAATGCTAGTCTTCCTTGGTTCACCAAAGTAATTCCCACACTATACCTGCTCCGATACCATGTCAACCAGTAGGAAAGAGAATAAATAGTAAATCAAGAAGAAAATAGGAAGAAGAAATAGGGAAAACACCAAGATTTAACGTGGTTCAGCTCAGTAGCCTACATCCATGGGAAGAGAGAAAAAATATCAACTATGAGAACAAGAGATACATGGCTGGTCCTCTCTACAGACTCACAACAAAATATCCACTCTCACTCAACCCTAATCCCACACAACTAATGACTTAAATAAGCAAAAAAACAAATTATATTAGAATTTTACATAGGCCCCTCTTCCTTCCATAAATACATACAAGTCCCCAAAATTTATCAACATTACAATTATACCCCTTTAACCTCTAACAAAAGAAAAAAAAAAGTTTCTTGATTCTAATCCAAATAAAGACCAAAACCCAATTCCAAGATCTTCCTTTGAGACTCCTTCAAATTCTTGAAGCAATGTTTTTGAACCGTCGTTGACCCAGACGGTTGGACCGTTCGGACCGGTCTCTAGTCAAAAACCATTGAATTAGTCAACGAACCGTTGACCTGGACGGTTTGACCGTTGAACCGTTCGACCCGGAGAACGGTTTGCGGTTTATTACTTCTGACAAGTTTTGTCAGAACAAGAATGAAAAGAGAAGAAGATCTCTTAGATCTAAGATCTATTGGAGAGAGATGTGTGAGGCAGTGAGAGAGATCTGAGAGATTTCACATTTAGAGATCTGGGAGAGCAGTCTAGACTCTAGACGACAGATCTGTGAGAGAGAGAGTGAGATCTGAGACTGAGAAATCTCAGGTCTACTTTCATCGCCAGTTTTTTCGCCATCGCCGCCATTGTTGCCATTGCCGTCGTCGTCATTGTTGCCATCGCCGTCGTCGTCACTGTTGCCACTGTAAGTTGCTGTCATCGTCGCCGCTGCAGCCTGCAAGTCCTCCTCCTCCTCTTCCTTCTTCTTCTTCTTCTTCTCTCTCTTCTAAACTCTTCTAGCTGACACTTCTCAAATCTCTCTCATTCAAACCTTATTTTCTCTTATATTTATATGCATCTTACCCTAATATTCCAATCTAATGGGTAAGATGACATATCACCTGTTAAAATATTCAAACCATCCGAACCGTTGACTCGGAAACCGGTGGCCAGAACGGTTCCATTTCCGAGTCGGTTTTTAAAACCTTGTCTTGAAGTATCAGAATCTAACGGATACTCCTTTTTCCACATAACATAGCAACATGATCTCTTCTTTTTTTAACAATAACAAAGCAACTTGATCTCTTCTTCATGCTTTATATTCAAAGATCCTTTTGTTTCTCTCTTTCCAAACTTCCCAACAAATGGCAAAAGGTACACAGATCCAAGCCATCTTCACCTTTTTGTTCCCTCTCAATGTAGGCTAATGAGCAAGGATGTCCACCGGGGATCAAAGGGAAAATTTTTGAAGAAGGAATGGGTTCAGGCACAGGGAAGACATAGGGAGAATGAGAAATAGCCTCCCACAGCTTTGGAGGTTACCCAAGATAACCAAAAAATATGGCATTTGATCATCTGTAGGAAGTATTTTTGTAGGCTCAACTTTGGCATATGGAAGAATTATTGTTATTCCATAGCAATGTTTTAAAACACAGAAGCGTGACAAGAGGCATTCCACTACCTGGAGGAGGGAATTACTGAAGCCTTGCAAAATAGATGGAAATATTTCCTCTTATATATCAAAACACACAACCCCTCCAAACTCATTGCTCTTAAGGAGTTTACAGACATTCCACTAGAATTTACTGATAGGAGGCCATCCAATTCAATCCTCTTTTGGATCTTGATGGAGTACTTATATGCTATGGTTGTCTGTTTTATGATCACATGTAAGCAGGTTGCTTGTTATCCTTTATATGTAGCTTCTCATTTGAGGGATCTTTGCCTAAATACAATATATTATCCCTATTATAAAAAGCCAACTAGGAATTTTATTTCATTTGTTATGGGTTTAAAGGTAGAAAGGAAGGACTGCCCTTACGTATTTATTTAATTGTATGTGGTTTATGAAAAAATTACCAAAAACAGGAATTCCCTATAAAATGCCTTAAGGATACCTTAAGAACTTTCCAACAAATTTCCCTTTCTCACTTATATTGGAAAAAACAAAACCAAATACATCATTAAATATTAATCTTTTTGATAATTAAGTATTAAATTATGGGTTTCCTCAAGCAATCATAGACCCTCCTCTTACCTGAGAAATAGGTAAGAGTAATTACCTTCCTATAGATTTCCTTTTTCTCCATCCTCAATATTTTATCAGTACAAAATGATATAAAATATCCAAATATCAAATAGCAAATGAAGATGGAATTCCAATTCTTGATGTTGTTCTTAGTGTTACAATCACACTGGAAAATGTTTTGATGTTGAAAAAGTTGCAGAGCTAACCAAAGGCTTAAGTATTCTTAACTAGATGCATCTTGGTTTTAAAAGTTTTTTAACTCATGTATGCAAAGTGGTGCCCACTCCAGGATCTAAAATTTTTTCTTGTTATATAACCAATTTGTCTGATTTATGTGAAATCATGTATTACTCTACAATGAAAGCTAATGATAGTCCAAACTTCAGCAACATATTGTCTATGGCATGTGGCATGAATATACTCGCTAGCAGCAATTGAGAATGATAAGAAAACAAAAGGCTGTGGAAACTATATGAGTATCATTCCAGTTATAATCCCAATGAGACTAAACAGTTACCTACAAAAAATGTACTTTATGAGTTGATTCTAGTGTTCAAAGAAATCATCTTAAAATAGAGGTCCCGACATCTAAAATAAAAAGAGTAGTGACAAAGCTTACAACAGTGATACTTAGAAATTTTATTTGGTACAGAAAAACAAGATTACCGTCAATTGATCAATGCTTGAAAACCGTTCTCTCACATGCAAGGCCATGTGTGGATCCTATGTATCATACACAATATATAAGGTAAGTAGAGGTCATAAAAACAAAAGGAGTAAACCAGAACTTGATGTACATGAAAACTAACAGCCCTTTTCTGAAAGGGACTCCCCTATGTGAAATAAATTTCCACTTTCAATGAACAAAAATATACAAAACATAGAAAAGAGTTGGTATTCACAACAGTTAATGTTAAAAGGGTGAGATACAAAGTGGGGTGGAGAAACAGAGTACATTTTTGGACTGACACATTGTGTGATGAGAGACCTTTGTTTGGAATTGTTTTCATCCCTCATCCTATTTGATAGCAATAGAGAGGCCTTGGTGGGGGATCTCTATGAAGTCAGGGTGAAGTATAGATTGGACCCCTCACTTCGCTGAATTCTTAATGACTGGGAAGTATAACGAGTAATGAGTGCCTCCCTCAATCAGGTAACAGGGATGTAAGAGGGTGGAAGTAGAACAGCTTTGGACTGTTTTCAGTTAGATACTTCTACAGACACCCTTCAGGCCCAATGGCAAACCTGTTCCTGCATAGAAAAATATGGTTAACCCTAGTACCATCCAAGGTGGCTTTCCTGCTGTGGCTCATGGTGCTGGAGAAAATGCCCAAGTAGGGAGAAGCTGGCTACTCAAGGTATGATCATCCCTTCCATGGTCTGTGCCTTCTGTGATCATGATTTAGAAACAGCATACCACCTTTTTATCCACTGCCAGTTTGTGCCCAGTATATGGGCCTACTTCTGCAATGTGGTGACTGTTAATTGGTGCCTCCTTAAGGCAGTCAGGGAGCCGGTGGTCGGGTGGCATCTAAGAGGCCTAAGTGAGTGTTAGATAGTGATTTGGAAAATGATGCTACCAGTGGTCATTTGATCTATGCCAACTGAAAGAAATCAAAGAATATTAAGGCTTAGTGTCTCTGGGAGACAAGATGATTGAAAGGTTGTTGGCAACTCTTGATTCATTGCTAGCATGGAACACAAGGACTTGTCAGGATTGAATCACCAGCTTCATTCTCGTATTGACACTTTATTTGGGTAATCTAGGTTTAAGGGGAATGGGCAGCYTCAGATGAATTTTGTAAAGAATATACTTATCCCTATAAGACACTCATTGTTCAGGAGTTACATTAGTACATTTTGTTGAAATGAATTAATACAATATGATCTAGGTTTAAGGGGAATGGGCAGCCTCAGATGAATTTTGTAAAGAATATACTTATCCCTATAAGACACTCATTGTTCAGGAGTTACATTAGTACATTTTGTTGAAATGAATTAATACAATATGATACTTTACCTAAAAAAATAAGTTAATGTTAACCTAATTTAAAGGGTAAGAAAAGCATCATCTTTGTTTTCTTTGTTGCAGTGTTTTAAAATCTCAAGGGCCTTCTAGCGTGCAAGGCACAAGATGAGGCACGTGCTTTTCAAAGCAAGCTGATAAATTTTGAAGAAAAAAAAAGGTTAAAACAATAAAAAACAATGATACATAAATACAAACCTGAATTTTAAAGAAATTAAATATCTTTAAAAGCCTATTAGTTCAAACTAAAATATATAAGCATAAAATATAAAACATATTCAAAGTGAAAATTCAGAAGCAAACACAAACATATCTCGGTCATACCAAAGTACCTTAAGAACTCAACAATTCAAGCATGTGAAACTTTCAATGTGTTTGTTTATCCCCTAAATGCATCACTTCAAGCAGCTAGTGTGATGTTAAGCATCTTTCATTGCTAATCATAGGAGATTGGCCATTTGCCTTTGCAGCCCCTAGAGAAAAAACCAAACAAGTCCATGCAGGAGTTTGGGGCAACGAACCAACCTAAATAGTAAATATTTGGCCCTTACATATAAAGGGGTTGATTTTGTGATTCTAGTCATAGTTCATTCTATCTAAAATTAGGGATCATATATTAGCTGTATTGTCATTGCTTATTCAGTAGAAGTTTTTCTATTTGAGATACTGTTTACAAGAATTAAAGTTTCAAGTTTTGTAAGGGTCTTATCTTTATTTATCTTAAAAGCTAATAGACAATTACTAGTGTGCAAACAGCAATAAAGAGTAATTTTAGAAATTGATATATCATTGCAAGGTGTAAAACACATAAAAATCTATGAAAAATAGAAAACGAAAAGCATGTTTTAAAAAAGAAAATGTCTGGGATGAGGCGCAAGGTGTACCAGGTGCACACTTTTTGAAAGGGAATGTGCCTAGGTTCAGGCAGGAGATGCCTTAAAATGTGCCTGGCCTGTGCAGTCTTGAGACATGCCTTTTAAAACACTGCTTGGTGTTCATAAGAAATTGAGGAAAACAAAATAGACCCATGCCATACATTGAAACAATTTTGATCATGTATCATACGGTGGCAAGCGTATTTAGTATCACCAACAGAAACCACAAATAAGGGAACCCACAAACCTTTTCGATTGCAAGAACAGTTGCACCTGCATTTATGAGAATATTGGTCAAAGAACCAGTCCCTGGCCCTATTTCTAGGACAACATCTCCTTCTTTGACATCGGCGGCACTTGCAAGTTGTTCATTAATGGAAGAATTCAACATGTAGTGCTGCCAGTTAGACATCACAAGGTACCATAAGTGAGGGTTTTCTTATACAATCATTATATCAGCTTCTACTATTTTCCTACACAATTACCTCATGGACGGATATCTGATGTTTCTTCGACTTCCAAATCCAACAGTTTTTAAATCATAATTTCTCTAAAATAATAAAAAGTACTAGTCCACTAAAGTTTGCCAAAATGCCTAAGAGAATTTTTGTCAACTATACATTCATAAAAGCCAAACAATTTTCTTTACAAAATTTACAGGGTAAAGTCTTACCAGTCGGTAGTAACAAGATAATACCAAACGCGAAACGGTTAAACAAACACAAAGGATTTAAGAATTCCTTGCAATGACCTCAAATTAAAACCAAGAAGGGGAAGAAAAGATTTAGAAGGTGAAAGCGTGCCCATCTAACAGTTGAAATTTGAGGAAGGAAATTATGAGGGTACCTGTCCAAGAGACTTTCTAGGCGTAAGGCCCCTTGATTTAAGAGCCTTGAGAGTAGCGTGGTAGTCGTCTTCGCTTCTAGCACTCGCCACATGAAATTTCCCTCTGCATCTTGCATTATCGTGCGCCGCAAATGAAGGCTCTACTCTCCTTCTGGACGTCGAAAATGAAGAAATTGGCGGGAGGGGTTGCAGAAGAAACAGCATTTTCTCGTCAGTTACAATTCACAGAGAATGAGTTTGGTTTTAGTAGAAGTGTAGAACTATGTGCAGGTGCAGGTGCAGGTGCAGGTGCTGCTGACCCATCCAATGCCAAAAGAAGACCCAATCATCCAAAGGGACTAATCCCTAGTTCCCTACCTCCTTGGCTTTCAGTTTCAAATCATAACAGTGACACGTGGCGATAGATTAAAGTTGAAATAACCTTGACTCTTGGATACACGGATATGCCCCGTGCATAGCTGCCTATACGTAGTGGTATTCGCCAACAGATCCGAGTGTCGTATTCGCGAGGGATATCCGGCAAGACCCGACAAATAAAATTGAAGGTGATGCTAGAATTAAAAAAGGAGACAGGCATTGGAACATTCTTTGATGATGTTCTTTCATTCTCCACGGGGTTTCACTGTCTTCCTTACACAATCGATAACGTACGATTGGGTAATCGACAATGTTGATGGCTTTCCAAGCAGTTAAATCTTCAGTTAGATTGATCAAAGTCAAGGTTCAAAATATCAATACAACCAATTCGCTGATAGGAGTGTATCAACCTGTATTGAAGCACATTTTTCCTTTTTTTTATGTTTTTTTTAACCTGATTCAGAGAAATTGGTTTAAGGCCTGTCAAACCCTGATCAAAGTAAAACCAATGCTATAGGTTTTTAGGTCAAGAAATGAACCCCAATGACTCTTAGCAATACAAGCAATTGAGCACCAGCCATCGGTTCTATAAGAGCCATTGAAATTTATTTTTATGGTCTCGGGTTTGGGATTGATCCACACAATAGACTTCCACACTTTAATAATTTCATTAACTTCATTTTCCTAGAAATTTTTTTATAAAACACATATGGTTGAAAGCTCCATCCAAAATAATGTGAGGGTGAGAGGTTTTATTACTGAAACATTTGTTATTTCTATTTTTTTCAAACATACCAAAGAATAATAGCAAACTTTTCTTTGCATAAGTGGTCATCATAAGGATTCAGCCACTTAGAAATTCGGCTCTACCAGTTCTTAATAGTTGAATCATTACCGATTGGATCATTGGAACTAGGAGATTTGAATTTACTAATGACCAAATTTGTTTGGATAAGTTACAATTAAGAAACAAATGATCAATAATTTCCTTTTCACCACATTAGTCATTGATGAGGGGTAATTTGGTCTTCCTAATCATCTTGCGCCATGTGGCCTCGGAGTGATACTTCGGCACTGAGTAAGTAAAGTAGCTCGGAAAGTCAACTCGAAATACCTCACCCAGGCCGACCTCCACCTCGGCTAGGACGAACTGGTTGGCTCCCCACTCGTGGCAATCTACCTCAGAGACTGGTCGAGTTGTAGGAGTCGACGGCGACCTGTAGGAAAGACCTACTGACCTGGACCGATAGTACGCTACCAGCCCGAGATCTCCAAAGTGCATATACCTCGACTGTTAGAGCGGCTTATTGCATCGCACGCCTCAGAGTAACTCGGACATAGTGTAACTGCCATGCCGATCTCGCAACTGGCGCCTAACCGCGCCGAACCAAGCAGTAACAGTTCCGCGAAAAGTTGAAGCCCGTTGTAAAAGGGCTATGAAAATAGGAGCCTATATAAGGCATTCATTTCTACTTGTGAAGGTACGTGCGCGATAATACACTCTCAAGCTCTCTCAGTCTCTCAAGAAATCTTCAAACCAAGGTTTAAAGTTTCAATGCGATACGCCTGATACGGGTGTATCGTATCGTATCGTCTTTGAAAAACAGATACGGGATATGCATGGAAATCGGATGTCTCATCTTTTTGTCATGCATATCGGACCCGTATCGAACCATAACGGGGCGTATCGAGGGTGTATCGGAGCATATCAGTAACATATTGACAAAAAAGATACGTCCAAAAATTGAAAAAAAAATAAAGGGGAAAAAGCAAACTTCTTTTCTCTGAAATAAGCCTTCTTTCACCCCCAAATGACTCTAAAACTCCAAACCTCATTCCTAGAGTGCTAGATTTGCAAGAAACAAGTGTGAATCGTTATTTTTTTTTTTTGAAAATTTTTCAAATTTTGAAAAAATATGGCAAAAATAGGTAATTTTTTAAATTTTTTATAATATCTTGTGATTTTTTTCTTGAATGTTTAAATTTATGTTGATCTATATTTCTTACATTCAAAATCATAATTTTTTTTTTGTGTTACTAATAAATTTAAGGAAATTTCATGAAGATATTTGGGTAAAATATAAATTAATAAAAAATTTGAAAATGTAAATTTTCTCTGCCTATAAAGACTAAATATGTTTTAGATCTATGGATTTATCTATCAAATCCATAGAGCAATTGAAATTTCTTCTTTAGTATTTTTTTTATTTTTTTTATTTTTAGAATTAAAAAATAAATAATAATTAATTATATTTTATCATTTGATCACAACAATTGAATATATTATAATTCTATGGATAACCTATCATATCCACAAACCAATTGAAATTTCTTATTTAATAATTATTTTTTTTTATTTTTATATTTTTATAATTAAAAAATAATTAATTAATTATATTTTATCATTTGATCACAATGATTGAATATATTATAATTCATGGATGATCTATCATATCCACAAAGCAATTGAAACTTCTTCTTTAATAACTATTTTTTGAATATATTATATAATGTTTATTTATTTTTTATAATTTTTGGAAATAAATAATAAATCATTATTGATTATATTTTCACTTAAAATTTGTGTCGATGCATGTTTTATGGTTGGATAGGAGAGTTGGGCTTTTCCCATCCCATAAAATATTAAAACTTAAGAATTATAATTTATAAATTATAGTTAAGCATAGGATTTTTAATGAAATTATAATTAACTACAATATATTTCTTCATAAAACCATTAAAATATATTAATTTAATGTATACATACCTCATTGAGGTCTTATATTTAGTGTTATTGATGTATTTTTATTATTTATTAGAGTATTTATAGTGTTTCCAAGCGTATCTTAGTTTTTCTTCGATATGCATGCATATCCAAGGCATATCCCGATACGTTTCTTAAAATTGCCTTTCCGATACTTTGAACCATGCTTCAAATATCTTCTGACTTAAGCATCGGAGTGCCCTCCTCGAGTAAAGACAACACGGGCACTCTAACACCCTTTCTTGTAGAAGCACTTTAGCTCAGCCATTACCAGCTCGGCCCAACACAACTCGGCCTCGAAAAGGAATCCTCCGAATCAACGTCCGAGTCACCTGCCATGAGGGAGCTACTAGATCGTGCAACATCAGTCACAATTACCATCAATGTTGAGGCCTCTCGCAATAAGCTTATTTTTAGTGGGCAATTTGCCACTAAGCACTAGAAATAAGAACACTTGGGAGGGACCTTAAGGTTCCAGACATTTTTTTAGTATATTGTCTATAGTTTCATTTCCCCAATTAATTCATCATTCTTCATTATAGGCATATTTAACTAAAAAATTACCATCTGAAGTAAATTTCATACCAACTTATCCTCAAAATGATTTGAGGGGATTATTTGATGCTTAATATGATTCCAAATTGAGATGTAACAATTGCTCTAATGATATCTTCCTCTCAAATATTTCTCTCTTGATCAATTACACTATTAACTAGCATCTCAATGTTTGAAATATTTTGTGCATTGAAATAATCTATGATGGGGTTAGAACCTGCCAATGTGTCTTTCTAGAACTTAATGAGATTCCCATTACCAATCTTCCAACTCATGCTCCTCCTAAGTAGCTCTCTAGCAGCAAGTATTCCTCTCTAGGCCCATGAGATACCTTTCTTAGGGGTGCTCATAAAAAAACCGAATCAAGTCGAGAAAATTGAATAAAAAATGTAATTAACTATATCAATTACTTTGGTTTGGATTAGTATTTTTGAAGTATATTTTATTTATATATTATAAATACTAGTAAAAGTGCACACGTGTTGCACGTGGCAATATCAAATGATGATGATGATAATAGTCAACAACCAAATGACTTTATTGATTGAACCATTAATCTATTTAATTGGGAAAATGGACTATGATTACGACATTAATTCATTTTTTCTTTGTATTTTAGCCATTTGTATATTTACTAACAATAATTCTTATTTTTCAAACATATTTTTGTTTAATATGAAGAATATAAAATATTAATGCATGTTCACTTTTTTTATAAAATTTATAAAAAAAATCTATATTTTTATTTTTTATTATTTAATTTATGAGATAATAAAAATTACTTATTTTCGAAGAGGAAATGCAATTCCAATATATTGTTTGACCATTGGTTTTTAATATTGTGGTCAAATCAATTATATATATATATATATCATTTATATATGATATATATGTTATTCATTATTTATTTATAAATATGTTATTTATATTGCATTTTTGTAAACTTCTTATATGATGAAAATAGTTGAAAAAATACTTATATTTTTTTTTTGTTTTTCTTTATTTCAACTATTATATTTTCTTTTCTTTTTAATAATTTATTATTTTTTAAATTAAATCGGATCGTATTAGATTTAGATATCCAACATCTTGATTAGATTCAGATTCAAAACAATATTTATGAGTTCTGATAAGATCTTCGGATCAAATCGAATTCGAATATACCCTGATTCAAATCCAATCTGATCTATTTGCATTCCTACCAAACCACTTGCCTACAATGTCTTAATTAATTAAATCATTGAACCATTTGACATGGTTAGTAGAGTCATCTGTTATACATTAATGCTCTTTATTTTTTATTCTAATTTTTATCCCATTTCCATCATTAAAGAAAATAATTCTCATTAATCACACTTTTTTTTATATGATAAATATATAATATTATACAATGTACCCAAAATTATCTACAAATTTCTACATTTTCTAGAATTTTATGTATTTTATTATTTAACAATAACACCATGTGTTGATCCATTTGACATGGATAGTTGAACTACTAACCCACCACTTGGATGGAAAAGCCATTTTTTTCTTATTCGGTTGACTTTAAATCATGTATTTCATTTCCATCATCAATAAAAGTAATTCTTATTTTCACATTTATTTTTGCACAAGGTAGTATCAAATGGTGATGATGATAAT